TACAATATACTACCAGCTGTCCCATAGGAGAAAACCTCATGCTATTCTAATGGAATAAAAGTTGAATTCCAGACAGTGAAATACTAAATATCAACCTACAGCCTGAAATGACCATTCCTGTTAGAAGGAAAACTAGGCGAGGTGGGTACTGTGTAGATATTTGTGTTCTTAATATTTCAATGCTCAGAGATCACGTTTGGAGGTAACACTTTGCACTTTCCATAACTGCAAACAGAAGGCTGGAATCACAGCAAAACGCAGCAATCTGATACAAGTCCCCTACACGTTACCATACAGCTGGGAATGGCAACGAGGGAGAACTGTGCGGCTTCTTGCATGCTATGCACAGTTTCCTCAACATCAACTCCAGCATCCTGTCCTCATCATACTTGGAGACTGAGACTTACACAAGCCTCCTACAATTTGACATATCTTGTGCGCGTATAGTCACAGAACACGCATTCTCTCCAAAGGTAACGCAGATCAGTATCAAGTGACAGAAATGCAGAAAAAAGTTTAATTTGCTGTGTCACCATGGTGGTATAAAGTTTTCATTTTTCCAAGATCTAAGAGTCTCTCCTCTCTCCTGATCACTGGCTAGAAATTGCTGAGAAATGTGAATAGATATTGCTAAAGCACAAGAAAATATTATGGAAAAGGGAACACCAATTCATACAGTTAAACTAGCTTGTTTAATCCTCTGTCAGAAACACACACTTGAAAAATAATATACTGAAGCAATGACTTATATGATAACTTCTAAATTTTCATTATTTGCAGTCAAGTGAGAAAGCAATTTTCTATTCCAAACTGCATTGCTGCACTGAAGTGCTAAATATAAACCTCTATGCCACATATTTAACTGAGCATGACTTAGCAATATTAAACTCTAGAAGGCATTTTCTATATCACCAACATAAATTAAATTGTTTAGAAAGAAGCAAGCAGTAGTGTAATATGGACAAATCTATGTAGCTGGAATAATCGTCACTTTACGCTTTAACCACTCCTGACTCCCCCTTTCTCCCCCCAAAAGGGCAACAGAGGAGGAGCTGGCCTTGTTTTTGCCCGGCTCTCCTAACGGTCTAATCAAATGGACACCTGGAGCAAGTCCTCAAAAGCTAAGGATATAGATTCACTTCCTTAAATTAATTATAATATTATGTAAAAAAAAAAAAAAATAAATCCCCAAAACCAGCAGCAATATGCTCACCATTATACTGAAGAAGTGAAAACTTTTGGAATCAAATGCTTCATTTCCTCCTGTACCACGAAACTAATACTTGAGTCAGCTGACGCGCTGCATGCTGTCCTGCATAGCATGCTGATGTAGCTAGCGCTAGCTTTAAAAAAAAAAAAAAAAAAAGGGGGGGGGGGGGAAACCACTGTGCAGAATGCCAAGTCTCTAGAGACCACTTGCTCAACCTCTTACTACAGTATATAAAACAAGCTGCAGACTTAATGTAACAAATGCCTCAGCAATTATTTCACATATGACAGTGTAGTTCTCTGAATACAGGAGATTCAGTTACTGTATTTTTTCTTTGTTTAAGTTAATGCATTGTAGTTACAGCAACCCCACTGCCAGAAAGTAATATACTCTAGGCACTGGCTTGGTTCAACAGGACACAATCAGTTAATAAAATCAGATATCTGCCTGAAGTGCTTTGTTTATGTTCAAATTTAGAGAGAGTCCCCAAATAGCACAAATACAGGAGTACCTTAAAAACATTTTTCAACATGGAAGTCTTAGTGCGTAATTACGGTTGCTTTTGTAATTCCAACACGAAAGGCTTAAACCTCATGATTATCTGGGAAGATTATTTAAACTACTGACCCATATTTCTACTAACCCTTTTCTCTCATTGAAACTACAAAGGACAGCACATCATTTTTTTTTAAGTTGTACTTTTCATTTTGCATAACAAAACTTCCTCTACACCAAACACATTTTATTCTGTTCTACTGTTTCCAGTATATTTAAATTTCCTTCCCCTGCTTTAACTTACATCCAGTTCCACCAAAAGTTTTTCTTTTTGGCTTTTCATCAGCTGGCTGTAGCAAGGGAAGGATTACATAAAGGATAGGTGTTATGTTACTGGCATAGGAGTGACCATGCTAACAGATAAAATTAAGCTTCTGAACTCACCCAGCATGAACAAGAACAGTCAATCTGACTGCTGGAGTTAATAGGACTCCAATAGCCAGTGTCTTGCTTACTGACCAACATGACTCTATTCAGAGCAAATTTAATGTAGTTCTGCATAACAAGGAATGAGAACAATTGGGGGGGGGGAAAAAAAAAAGCAAAGCTCACACACATTTTTATATATACATACATACACACACATACATAAAAATGTTTGGGGTTTTTCTGGGTCCCCCCACACGCATATATATGTAATACAGAACCTTGAATCAAAGCTCTTTTTAACATGCTCTACTTTGAAAGCAGAGCAGTCAGAAATGACAAGTGGCAACTCATTAGCTTAAAGCAATCCAATTGCTTTGGTATGTATGTTCACACCCTTGTACAGCTGCAGAAAATGTTCCCAAAAATATTAAATCTGTAAATTCAGTTACTTCTGAAGTATTTTTATGAATTTAAAATAATCAGTTTAATTAATTGTGAACAAAACACAAAACAAAAATTATGCACACCAAATCCAAACCCACTACAACCTGTTGCCCATGTTAACAGTGGGCACTGGTTTCTATGTTCTGAGAGTTTTTAGTAAGATGCTCCTCTCAGATTCCTGACAAATCACTAATTGTTGTTGACATTCATCTCTGCTAGTAGGTTACTCCTGAACGTTGCAAACAAGCACTGCATGGTCACCATTCAGGAGATTTAATTAGTTTTTCCTGAATTTGATTACAAATGTTCATGCACCACTATTATTTCATGTAGTTATTCTATGGAACTCTATGACAGCACTGGTCAGAAAAATTTTTCATTTTCATGGAGCTTTTACCCCTCCCCATCCCCAATAATGATGTCTAGTTATGGCTCTCATACTTCCATACAAAAAATGCCATGCAAATATACACATTGTTCTGCAGATCTGCACACACACAACAGCCAAAAGTTCTGGACAAAAAAAAGGAAAATCAAGTTGTGATAGCCAGTATTTAGAAGGAGCTTTCCACATCTGACGTACCGTAAGTATATACACAGAAACTGAAAAATTCCATCAGATGATACAACTCAAAGGGAAGGGTTGTTTTTGGGGGTGGGTTGTTTTGGTTTGGGAGTTTGGGGGTTTTCAGGTTTTTTGCTTCTAGCCTAACGTAAGTTAATCGCCTTCCTCCAGAAGCTTTGAACTGTGTACTATAAATATTTACTAAATATGACTTGTTCCTTCAGACCTGTAAGAAGGTATGAGGAAAGTTCCTTGTTGCTCTTTAAGCTTTTTGAGAAGACAAAAGCACTACACTTCATTTTACTCTAACAAATAACCAGTCATTTTCTCTTCGGTTTTTGAGAGCTTTCTTGCATATACTTTTAAAACAAATCCTCATTTCAGTTCCCCAAATGCACGGAATTGTTTAAGTTGGAAAGAACCTCTGCAGATCATCTAGTCCAAACCCCTGCTGAATCAGGATCAGCTAGAGCAGAATACAGACACTCCTTTCACAGAATACAAGTTCAAACAATATAGAAATTAACGTAAATCAATGTATTCATAGTTCCAAATGATTCTTTTAACAGGTCATTGGACTCTCCAGACAGAGACGATACTCTGACCGTAGTGTACCAGGTCTGTTTTCCTGGCATGTAGCCTGTCACCAAGAGCAGGATTAGGTAGCTGTTCTATATGAATCAGCTGTTAAGCCATGTGTACTGAATAAGGCACAAAATGTGATTCATTGCAGCCACACGTCTATTTCTATTTTGTAGAATGATGAGAGCTAGATAAAAGTCTAGGTTTCCATTTTCTAACAGTCTGATACAGTATAATACATCTGGTTACAAGTACTCTCAAAAGAGGTACTCAAGAGATAGAAAGACCAAGAAAAGGACTAACAAAAAAAAAATCCCTAACCCCAAGATCATCACTAAATAAATAAATGAATAAATAAATAAATAAACCCACCAAAAC